TGGTTTCTTGAAGAGATGTTCAAGCAAGCAGTATACTCCTTGATGATAAATTTGAAGTGCGGTTAGGTAGCCTGAGTGAAGTCTGTACACAAGAAGGAGATACCCATCAAAGCAGGATTTCCAGGTTGCTGCGATTGCCTCAGTAAGTGTTGTATTATAAGTTGTCTAGTCTATTTGCTATCTTCACTTGCATATAACATTTAAACATTTTTCTTATCTGCATGACATGTTGTTTGCAATGAGATTAGTTGTCTCATTTTGTGATCTGTGACGGTGAAAGGTTCTGTGTTTTTGTCTTTCCCACCTAGCTTATGGCCATAACTGAGCATGTTAAATTACTTCTCATATTTGTTTTTAAACGGTGTTGTTTTTAGTGGGACATTCCATCAAAGAAGTTGTTGACCGCTGCAGTTCTGTTAGTAATCTGCCAATATGAACCTCCTTTGGTTCTCATTGTTATTAGATAGGTGGGCAGAAAATGGTGACTACTTATGTAATAAATTTTCTTGCCTCCAGCATCAAGTGGGTGATTTTGTTGATCGTTTCCTTTTTGATGGAAAAGTTTCAGAAACTGTGCTGCTAGGGTTTTCTGTAGCCTCCTCTTTAATTTTGGGCATGTTGAACTATAAGATGTTCCATGGTTATGATGTAGTCTTCTGAAAACTTGGAAATTTCATCTTATCAACTTTTCTGTCCTTTCGGGTAGCTCTTGATTTTGTAGACCAGGAGATTTCAAATTTCAGCAGCAGACATCTGAGTTGTTTCTTTGCCTTCACATTGTGTAGTTGAGAAGAAGAGTGTCAAAACACTAGCATATTGCAGTTAAAGATTCTTGTGATCTTAGACATGGCATAATTTTATGGTTTAACTACTGTCTTGGTATATTATGAATAAAAAGCATGAGCTAGATTATGCATGATGTAATGCCTTTGGAATTCACGGTGAGGCACTACCAGCGTATAATTTTCAGTTGTTATTTCTTTTGCTATTTGTGGTTAGACTATACCTGGTAATATCTATCTGCTGCATCAATATATTGTAAGGTGTATATTGTATGCTTGTGTTTTTTAGCATAATCAAGGTAGTGATTTCAGTGTTTCTTTATCATTTGCAGGTCATTGGAACAAGGTACTTCTGGTACGTAAAGATTTAGCTGTAGAACATCACCAATTTGGTTTTATTACTTGGCTTCTCCATATTAATTCATCTAGCTAGGAGTAGCCAGCCATATGTTGTAGAGTTTGTCATGCACACACCACTTAAAAAAAGCTTGTTATGAACTTATGATGTTATACAGCATATGATTATTGAAAAACTCAGGTTGAGGATTAAATAGCATGAAATATCAAATCCATTCTTAGGACAATAAAATTTCCAATCCAGACCTTTTTAACCATATTGAACTATGAGATGGGTTGTTTATCATCGTAAAACAGTACTTCAGTTATTGTTGTTAACCAGGGGGGTTTGCTCTCTTTAGGTCTCAAGTTCAAATCCTCTTGCCAACAAAATTCTTGGGGCCACAGGCAGCAGGGTGAAAAACACCGTGTAAGGCTGGTTCCGGGCGGGGGGGCTAGTTTGGTGCACAAAAGCTGGTCCAGGATAACCCTGCGTTTCCCTAAAATATATATATATATTAACCAGAGTCAACAGGTTTCCTGCCTTGGAAAAAGGGATAAAATAACCCGCTGTGTTGTACTTTACCCAGCTATGCTCATGCAGAATTGCTGTTCATATTAGCATTCTGAACTGTTTGGTGCTAAAGAAAGCATAATTTCAGGAAAATTGTTATGCATGCCTTCTCATTACCAAATCTGAACTTAGTTCCTTTTGAGAGTCGTAATGTCACCAAACAGTTAATTTTTTTAATACATGATCCTTGCATGGAGGAATGAGTTTTCCTCATTTGATTCTGACTAACTATGATATTTTATAATTTAAAAGTTCACTAATGTTTCTGAAGTTAATCTTTTCTTGAATATGGCCAGGTTCATTGACAGCCACGTGTGCCTACGATGTTTATTGTTTTGGGAAGGTGCTACTTGAGTTGGTTACTGGAAAGCTGGGCATTAGTGCATCTAGTGATGCCCAGCTGAAGGAATTTTCAGAACAGATTCTACCGTACATTAGCATCTACGACAAGGAACTTCTAATCAAAATTGTGGATCCATCTCTGATCATCGACGAAGATCTGTTGGAGGAAGTTTGGGCGATGGCCATTGTTGCGAGGTCTTGCCTCAATCCAAAGCCTTCAAGGCGCCCTCTTATGAGATACATCCTTAAGGCTTTGGAAAATCCTTTGAAAGTAGTGAGGGAAGAAAATTCTGGTTCCGCAAGGCTTAGAACAACATCTTCTAGATCTTGGAATGCTTCTCTATTTGGGAGTTGGCGTCACAGCTCATCTGATGTAGCAGTCATTCCAGCAACCTCTAGTGCCAGGCCAGAAGGAGGAAGTAGTTTTAAACAGTCAGGAACTTCAAATTCACAGGGTAGTGGCCAAAATGGTAGCGGCAACCATTCATCTTCAATGAGACGGCATTCTAGAGAGATTTGCCCTGAACCATCTGATGAACAAGATGTAGAGAGACAGAATTAAAATTAGCACACATGTTTATTTTTCGTAATTCTTTGTCAATAATACAGCAGCCTTCCCATTTGAATGCCTGCTAGATGGTGCCCCCAGTGCGGCTGTCTCTGGTTTTTTTGAGTTGATTGAGGTCTCAAGCCCATTTGGTATATTTTGGGTGTTGAAGGTGCATATCTACTTCCACAGGAAACGATTATCAAAAGTTTTGTTGTGGAGCAGGAAAGTTTATATCATGATTAATTGGATAGACAAGATTTGAGAAGAGTCAGGAGGCAAGGGGGTGCTTGTGGGGATTATTATGGTCATTTTATGTTTTGACAGCTTGTTTATAGCTACAACAAGCTCCCATTTTTATCTTTAATTGATCTTTGTTCATGGCTTCTTTTTTGGGTGCAATGCAAGTGTAATTGTCAAGAATTTCATCATTCAAAATCTTCCCCTTTTCAAAAAGAAAAGATAGGGAAGATGTACCACGAACCATTGTTATCAGTTCGAAGATTAGTTCAACAATCCAGTTAGATGGCTCCAGCGGCGAATGTATTATCGGTGGAATGCACATTTTGGGCGCGGATGGCTCCTCTATAATCAGGTGGAAGAAGCAGGCTCGGTAATGTAATTAAAAGTAAACAGTGCCTTTATCAAAACTGATTTAAAAAGAACAAAAAGGAGGTCCCGCCGAGATTTGAACTCGGGTTACTGGATTCAGAGTCCAATGTCCTCACCACTAGACCACGGGACCAATTGTTTTTCTACCTAACATGTTATTATTTAAATATCGAGGAATTCTACACGTTGCCCACAACAGCTAATCCACCACCATTCTCCACTCCTCCTCCTCCCTCCACCACCACCAAACTCCTCAAAGCTCCTCCAGCTCCACCACCACCACCACAACAGCAACCACTAACGACAAACCCATCCCCAGGACCCAGAACTCCAAATCCACCCCTCTGCGCATCCACCACTTAAAATCACCAAACCAAGATTGAAACTTTACAGGATTTAATTACACCAGAAGAAAGTTAAACTTCAAGAACTATAACATGTTATTACTTAAATATCGATGCATTCTACACGTTGCCCACAAGCGCTAATCCACCACCATTCTCCACTTCTCCTCCTCCCTCCACCACCACCAAACTCCTCAAAGCTCCTCCAGCTCCACCACCACCACCACAACAGCAACCACTAACGACAAACCCATCCCCAGGACCCAGAACTCCAAATCCACCCCTCTGCGCATCCACCACTTAAAATCACCAAACCAAGATTGAAACTTTACAGGATTTAATTACACCAGAAGAAAGTTAAACTTCAAGAACTAACCCTTGTAGCTGAAAAAAGAATATCACAATTTCCAGGCATAGTGGTAATTTGAGATGAGAAGAAGAATCAACAGAGGAAGAGAGGAAGCCTTTTTGGTATTTTAATTCTGCATATCTTATTGAATTTATTTTGACCATTTATATGTCTAGCCTTGCAACTGCTAAGAAATAATAAAAAAGATCAGGAATACCGAAAAATATAAAATAAAAGAGTAGTGCTGCCAACCTAACACTTATTAGGTAGTGTTTGTTTTTGAGAGGAAATTATGTTTTTTTATTTTTAAATTGTTTTGATGAATTAATGGGGAAAATAAATAATATTACTTTAATATATTAAAAAATAAATCATTTTAAAATGGCCATACCGTCCCTTCTGCTTAAGAATCCTTGTTCACAAGGATGAAATCTGGATAGTTTTTATTGAAACGCCACATATTCTCCCAAGTTGCATCTTCTGATGATGCCTCTATCCACTTAACCAGAACTCCAGACTTGGGACGATAGAACGATAATTTCCCTTGCGAATCACACGTCGATCTAAGATATCCTCATGTTATGGAAGGATGAATATTGAAATATCAGAGACAGGGGGAAGTAAGAACGATGATGGAGGGACTGGCCCCCCCATCTGCTTCTTCAACAAGCTGACATGAAATACATCGTGAATTTGTGAACCAGGGGGTAAAGCCAATATACAAGCCACATTATCGATTTTCTCAATGATTTTATAGGAACCAAAAAAAAGGGGCGAGCTTCATGGAGGACTGAAAAGCTACAGAAGTTTTCCTGTAGGATTGTAGTCTTAGATACAGTAATCTCTCACAATCAAAGAGATCTCACGTCGGTGGTGGTTTGCTTGATATTTGATGCGATTCTGAGCTAGTATAAGGTTGCGGTGCAACTCTCGTAGAATTGCCTCACGATCACGCAGGTACTTATCTACAGCTTGGACACGGGAAGTGCCTGGTACATAAGCCAGCAGGTCTGGTGGTGGAATTCCATAAACAACTTCAGAAGGATCAGTCATCTTGGTGGGAGGGGTGAATATTTTTATTGCAACTGAATTCAGGCCAGGGAATCCAGCCGAGCCATTTTTGTGGCTGACCACCAGCAAAACAACATAGATATTGCTCTAAGGTGCGATTACCAACTTCAGTTTGGGCGTCAGATTGAGGATGATGACTCCAACTCATTCATAACTTGGTTCCCTGCAACCGGAACAATGTTCGCAAAAAAACAACTGATAAACGAACCATATTGGTGATGAACGTCTTGGCAAAAACTGCAGCAGTAAATGGATGTTTTAATGCAACAGAGTGAGTGTATTTCGTCAATTGGTCAACCACTACCATGAGGACAGTATATCCTTGAGAAGATGGCAAAGCCTTTAATAAAGTCCATTTAGACATCAGTCCACATCTGCGTAGGGGTTGGTAGAGGCTGAAGCAATTTCGCTGGCTTCATATAATCTGTTTTGAACCGCTGGCCAAACATCATACTTTTGCAGAAAATATTAAACCTTCTGATGGATACCGAGCCATAAGAAGCTCTGCAATTTTTGTAAGAGGGTTTATAGAACCTAAAACGCCCACCCTTTGGTGATAAATGGCAATCAAACAATATATCTTGGAAATTAAAAGTGAAGCGGGATTCAAATAAACCTTGCCTCTTTTAAACCACACACCATCTCGCTCGCTACAGCAGCTTTAATGGGGAGGGACTTTTCTTTCATAACCCTTCACAAAAAGAATCTTGCTGGACTTCCTTCTGAAGCAGTGGCCACCAATCTGCATGAGGGATTGAGATGGATAAAAACTGGAACTCAACTACACAAGACAAAGAATCGTTGTGGGGGGCCACATGGCACTCTTGTAACAGATGACAGACAAGTTGCTTGGAAATTCCACTATTTGAAAGGGCCGGGATCGTTATAAAAGGGAAAACAAGCGTATAAAAGAAACATGTATCGGAGAATGTCAAATGTGTTCTCGCACGCTAGGAGAGAGAGAGAGAGAGAGAGAGAGAGAGAGAGAGAGAGAGAGAGAGAGAGAGAGAGAGAGAGAGAGAGAGAGAGAGAGAGAGAGAGAGAGAGAGAGAGAGAGAGAGAGAGAGAGAGAGAGAGAGAGAGAGAGAGAGAGAGAGAGGGGCAAAATGCAGTGGTATTTAATTACAATTATAAAATAAATTAAAAATAAAAATGTTTTCGATATTCATTTATTATAAAAGAAGGCACAATTTCATCGAAGCATAATTTTATGTGTTTGACTTTTTTAATTGTGCATGCTTTCACACATCACATATACGTGTTTGGGAATACTCTAACATTATATTAAAATTGATATTGTGAAATAAAATTTTAGATTATAACAAACAAAGGATTAAAATAAAAAAACAGTTTTTTTATTTTTTTCATTTTCACCATAAAATAAAACTTTACCTTGCTCCTTGAACTTTTAACTTTTATCTGCATATTTGGTCAATGATATTTTTTTGGGCTTAAACTTTTTTTTTTTTTCATATTTGATCGTTAGAGACTGAGGAAGAAGATCAGAGAAAGTCATGAAAAAAAAGAGTGGAGAGAGAAAATGTTCAACAAGCCACTAATTATATATATATATAAAAATCAAATTTGATGTCAATTAATTTATTTTTAGAGATGGGGTTTCATCGAAGTGGGTTTTTTTTCTCAAACATACTAGAGAAAAAACATTAAACCCATGAAGCTTTTTTTAATTTAGTTTAATTCTTTTTTAAGAGTGATTAGAGGATGAAAAAGAGGTCATTGTGATTTCTAAGATTTTTTTGAGTTTTTTAAACAAGTATCCAATTGTGCCATAATTTTTAAATTAGTTGTTCTTTTATATTTTTTATATTCTTGTAAAAATTATCAAGATTTTATCATTTATTAGAACTTACTTTTCAAGTCATTATAAATTTTTATTTAAAAAACAATGTTTTTGATAAAACTATCATAACCAAAGGAAATAAATGAATAATAAAGACTTTTATTGAAAAAATACAACTGCTTTCTTATTTCAAACCATTAAAATTTTTATACATATTTATTTTAATTAGCATTATTTTTTATTCAAAAAATATGCTCCTAAAAAAAAGGACATGTTTTTGTGAAAACGTAAAAACATGAATAAAAAAAAGAGAATTTGCCGAGCAATGTATATTTTTTCCTTCAGAATTTAAATAATTACTTTGATTACATATATCTATTTTAATCGACACAATTAAATAAAATAAAATTTTGAAAACTGTTATGCGGCATAGAACAAGCACACTGGCCGGTAGCTACTGCTAATAAAGTACAAAACAATTGAAGACTACAGACTGAGCAGTCATCAATGAAAACTCGAGGCCTAGAGAATATCTAATCTAGCTGTCCCCAATTTGATGAATTCAGTTGCTGCAGTATAAATCTGGTTTCCCCAGGCATAGACTCAACCAAACCTGTTTCTCAAAAACTAGAGATGGAACAGAAGAAAGAGCAGAACCATTTCACAATCTACCTAATTCCAATAAGGCATAGAGGGTTTTTCTTGATGAGCCCAAGATCCACCTGCAACGTAAGAATGAATGCTCGCGTCAAATTGTTATGAAGATAGCGTGTGATGTTTTAACTAGAAGAAAGGGTGAGTATAAAGGCAGTACCTTGTGTCCAAAAAGATCTCTGATATTATTGATCCCATATAATATCATGGTTGGTCTGTTCAAACCATTGGAAGAATATGAATCAATGGATGTGAATTGTGATATCTATTGTTTCTCAAAGACGAGGATAATTTGGAAGATTATTCTTGTATTTGTCAGATAAAATTTCTCACCTTTCAAGCGAAAGGCCCCAGGCAATAACATTGACATCTTCCGAGAATCCCATAGGACGCAACATTTCAGGCCTGAACATGCCAGAATTTCCAATCTCCACCCATTTCTTGAGGCCTTCGTGATAACTGGCATGTATAGGACGTATCAAATTTCCAATTACTTTACAAGCAGTGCACCTGTAAGAGGAATTCATGATTTTATACCTGAAAATCTCCATGCTAGGCTCGGTGTATGGATTGTAAGCAGGCTTGAATTTCAGCTTGTCCATGCCTGAAAACAAAATGTGCATTTCGAAGTCAGATTTCAGCTTCCCATGGTAGTAAGCATTCTCCTCCAGCATCACTTGTATACAGGGACTAGTATAACCAGCCGCCTTCATTCAAATTAACATGAACCCATGCAATCCTACCTACTAGACGCTCATACAAAGATCAATCAATCTATCTATATATCCATTTATCAGGATGGCCATCAAACCTCTAACTGCTACCATCGATACCTTACAAGAGTGAGCGGGGTTTTATCTCAAGTCATTTGGTATCATGCTAGGTGACTTTACCAGCTAGCACTGGTAACAAACAAATTTTTACAGGCAACGACCAAACTACAATTCTTTTCATGCATATTTGATGGAAAGAAGTGTTAAAGAAAATTACTTCAGAACACATTTAATTACCTAAACGTGAAAAGAAGTCCTGCAGCACTCCAATCAAGTGACCTAGTGTAAGCCCTCGATCACATACCAAACCTGAAACCAAAAGCAGGATTTGACTGTTCATCTATTGACAAAAATCACAATAACCTGAAATTAATGAAGCAGTTGAAAGGCAGAAACCAAGTCCTTAGTGTCCACACTTCAATATTCTGTAGTTCAACTTTTATAACATGATCAACAGCACCCCATCATATTCACAAACCATGTGCTTGGATGTCCAATAATGGAATCAATTGTATCAACACCAAAATCTGAATTAGTTTTGTTTTTAGGACTTCTTGACAGACCAGCATGGTATGAGAAGCATAAAAACCTCTAAAGAACATCAAGAAAAGCAGACTCCATATAATGTCTTAGCTCAACATACCTTCTATCTGGTGGAATTCTGCTAAATGAGTTCGATCAACTGCTTCATTTCTGAAAACTCGATCTATGGAGAAGTACTTTTTGGGGGTAAACGACTGCTGTTTTGCATGCTATCAAAGAAAATTAAATAATTAATTATCTACTATATTTAAGTGAAAAAGGATGGCTAAGTTAACAAAACAAAATATCCCAATATTATAAGAAACCAGAATATTTTAGTTCACAATACTTCAGACCAACGAGCATGTTTACTAAGTAGATTGAGGCCCACCAATTTTTTTAATCTGCAAGATTAGATTTTAAGAGAAAAAAAGTGGCACAGAAGAAAAAACAAGCAAGACAACAAGATTGAAACCACTTTGTTTTCCTTAAATCAGTGTCAAATAATTAATGACACCAGTTAAGCTTCCCTGGGAATCGTGTTTGCATGAATCAATGAAGAGAGGGCACCCTAGATCAGAGCACAAACAAAAGAAAGCACAACATAATAACAAATGCATGAGCACAAAAGAGTATATTGGAAACCATTCCAAAAGTTAAGAAGATGGATATGTAAGAAACTTAGAATGCATTAACACCTGTGCTAGTGCATAAAGCATCCGAGAAGAAATTGCAGTTGTATGAGTTCGCAAAAGATTTTTGTTTGCTTCCTCTTTTTTCCACTCATATCCATATCTGGAGAATAGGTATTTCATATTTGTGAGAGAATAAGTCATTCACGTAATAGTGAAAAAAATAGATTAAAAGAGAAAAATCATACCCCCTTGACCCATAGCCACCAGACTCATGAACACGCTTCACCAACTCAACATAATCTTCAGGCAGTTGCTTTGTTGTTTCAGGAGCTACAGATTTATATGCCAAATAACCATCAGAAAACCAGATGTAAAGATTTATGAATAGGAAATCACTTCAAACAGACCTTTAAGAAAGAAGGTATCATGTGAATCGCGGGCAGGATGTTGTTGTGGCTGGGACAGGGCATCAAAATTCCAGAAGCTGCAAGTTGAAATGGGAATGCAACGGAAAGTTAAGGAGACCACCAAAACAATAATTAATGTCATCACATGAAAGCAAAATGCAGGAAAAATATTTTAAGATATCACTTTTTTGGGCTCCACAGACCAAAAGAAGAACAAATAAGTTGCATGCTCACCATCTAGATTACTTTCCATCAAGCAGACACTTTCTGCTAACATTACCTTCTTCTAAATGGAACCAATTTTCCATGGTTGCAACATCATTACAGGATTAATATATTTAGTAGAGATAATAGGAGAATCCTGTATCAAAACATTTAGTAATAAACCCAGAAGATGAACAAATCATAAAGAATATCTTCAAACATGTGGAGGAAGACAAGGTATCCAATCATTAATGCATAGTTAGCTTTAGTTTCATGACGTAAAGCTTCAAATGCTAAAGAATTGACAATTAACAAAATGGAATGATGCTGTTTATAAAGAATGAGCAGAAACAGCTACCTGCTCTCAACATATTTATTTGTTGGCATTTCCTCAAAGCTGCAGCCAATAGAAGACCAATGCACAAATGTCAAACAAAGATAGACCACTGAAAGTAAAACCAGAACACAAAGAACAGGTCTTACTTCATTAGACGGAAGATGTTTTTGAATCGTTCTTTCACCTAAAATAGAAAGGAAAACAAAAGGCAATACTTGGATGAGCATTTCAGCACTGTAGCAAAACTTACATTGTGTGCTTAGGGAAAAATAAACTCCATGGCGTCAATTTCAATCAGTTCTAAATGAAACTGAAAATTGCTATTCACCACCAAGCAAGCCAATTTCCAACAAAAACAGAACTATCACAAAACTCTTCCAATTCTGTTTCTATGAATGCATACATACAATAGATACATTATTCCTTCAACTGATTCAGTGCCAATGCCTTTTTAAAATCTGATCAGCAGATCTTGTAGTGGTGGCTATTGTTTAGAACAGCACAAGCAATGTGAACAATATTCCAATAAAATCTTTTATTTGACAAGCAAAAATTAACTTGATGTCAAACCCAAGTCTTAACAGCATACTCAGATATAAAATTTGAGATCTGAAACATGAGAAGGTTTTGACCAGTTATGCAAAAGTTTCAGCATCAAGCTAATGAATAATGCTGACATCCATGCACACCCACCCAAACTTCAAGCCTAACTAAAATAAACATGTGAGCAACTAACACTGTATATAATGGCAATATTTCAAGATAATGAAAATGGCAGTCTCAATCAGTCTAGACACTCAATCCGACATTTATTTACAGGACAACCTGTTGTCAGTATCAATTGACCAATCAAGTTACTATGCAACACAAAGAATTCCTTTTCCTTGAATATAGGGTGTTGCAATTTGCACTCCAAAATATTATATTCAAAAAATCATTTTCAGCAAAATTATGATATCCTTCAATATGGTAACAATTTCATATAGGTGTTTGAAACTTAAAGGTCAAATTTCTCCTCACTGAAAATGAATGCAAGAAGAGACCTTTTTGGTGTGTGAATAGCAACATAAATTCCACAATTGGTTGCCCCTACAAATTTCATAGCAATTAAGAGTCTAATATTCCCTAAACATAAAAAGGAGAGGAAGAACATTAAAATAAGAATAATGTTATTCTTGCCTTGTTGAGCGGATGAAGATGGCCACTTTCAGGTGGTGGACCTTTGGCACTGAAGTTGTACTCTTTGAACTCTATGTTCCTCCAATCACCCCTAAGCATCAGATAAATTTGTCAACAGGATGCAATGAATATGCAAAACCAGGTGAACAGTGGCTAACAACAACCCCATTGTGTTAATGTTATTATGCACAACAAACCCCTGCAAACCCCAGCATATGTCAATGTTTACATTATATAGAGAAATCGTATGAAGTTCCATGCTGCAGCAAGAAACGAAATGAACTGGTTGGCATGCAGAAACAATTCATGAACGCACTCAGAGCTGTGCAAGTTGGTTAAAGCATGCTTAAATTATAATGATGTTTCCTATGCATATCCTGCACTGTTACTGCATCCTCTCAATGGTATGCATTTTTCTCATATGCTGCAACCACAGTTGTCTATCAGTGACCCCAAATTCTTCACCAACATACCCCAAAATTCATAGTTGAGGCAAACTAAGGAAATAGCAGCCAACAACTCAGATTTATGATCAACACTGTATCAGCATACCCATGTGAATATAGGAGCATACCCCAGCAGATGTTCTCGAGTCAAATCAGTTGCAGTTCTCCTTCTTGTTGGAGCATAATCAGGACCTCTTTTAACTGAGTAGCCCTTCCAGGTTCTAGAGCACAATTCATAAGTTGTAAAACACCAACACCACTGATGAAAAAGTTTCAACCTTGTACTATAGACAATAAGAGAACCAAAATAAATAACACAAGAGCAAAAGGTAAGATCATTACTGCAGAGCAGTAAGCTTTCTTGCTTTGAGAGAGTTGTTATCATCTTTGCCAAGTTCCTGATCATAAATAAATAATAATAAGTAAATCAAAGGGCAGAATCGAGATAAAACCACACATAACTTATGAATACAGAAGGGGATAAGCCTGTGTCCCCCAACTGTTAACAAAGATGGACCCGCACCAACTTCAATAGTCTCGGATATGCCCCCTAAGCTGTAACCACTGCATGAAGGCCTTTTTCAAGTAAACAGTCAACAAGTATGTCGGCTGTTTCCGGATGAAAGCTACATCGCAGTAGCCAATTAAGTTGATAGCAGCTAAGCGCCAAAGAGCAGGTCTTCCCGTCTAGTAATAGACTTGTTCTGGGGAAGCTCCCTACTCGTTACCGACTCAAACCTTGAAGCCGGTAACAAGCTCAATACCAATATTCAAGTCCTATAGCCCCACCCTTGGGCATTTACCAAACTGGGACTCAAGTGCTAGCTTATGTGAATTTGAACTCATTAATAGGGTCACTTCACTTCAAGATTGTCGATTCACAAATTGCATGTGACCATTGAAACTTACTGAGCTCATTTCCCCAATACTAAAGACTATAGGATTGGTACCTGAACGAATTCACATTCAGTGGATTATCATGTGGTATCCAGTTACTTGGTAAGACAAGATGGCAATGGTTGCCGTGTATGAACAAGGATAAATGAGGGCTGATGGGCTCCATTCTTTATGCTGCTAACTCTCAGTTTGGTCCTACTTCTATTTAGTAAACAACCACAGGAGCAGCTTAGCAATTAAATATGAAAATAATAGGTATGATACAAGGGTGAAATAGTGCACTCCCCCAAACCCCTTAAAAGAGTACCCCTTCTTAGCCACAGACCATACCCATGAAGACAATGTCAATCTTGCCTACTGGTTACTTAGATGTATTTTGATAAGCATATTCAATAATAAAATACAGTATCCACTATAATGCACCTGCCCATCTTGTATCCGTAAAAGAAGATCCTTCACTCTGTCTTCAACATGTTGAACCTATAACAAAGAACAAAAGGAATAACTATTATTAAAGAACAATATGCAACTTAAGATAAAGTAAAAATCTCCTGAGTTACAATATTTAGGTTTGTTTGTTTTGCAGAAACTATGTTCCTGTAAAACATTTTCTAATGCTTGGTGACACTTATGAAAGGGAATAAGAATTCAATTTTCCCTTTGCCTCAATACCAAGCTAATCCTTATGACCCACCTCAACCACCTTGTAAAAAAACCATTATCACAACCAGTTTCTAGGCATTTAACATTCTCAAACCCACCTCCACCACCAATAAACCACCATTTTCAGGTTATAAGGAATCTCAAAGGCTCATCTTCACTGCAAATAATCACCTCTACAACTTTTGAAAATTTACATCACCAACTATACACAATTCCCACCATGGATAGATGGGAAATTATAAAAGGCATCCATGAAAACCCCTGTCAGCCCAGATCTTAAATGCCAAACCCAGCACTGTGACCCACTCCACCATAGATCTTAAGTGGTTACTCACAATTTTGCAAAAGGAAGCATATTTTATCAATTGGCAAGACAGAACAGCCAAAAGGTGGAAAGCAAGTTTTGAGACCATAAAACCCAGCTCACGATATTTTTTTATTTTGGGTGCAGTCACTAGACATGGATTTCCAAAAGAATGAAGAGGAATATTCGAGTATTCTGAGGTATTTATACATAGCTTAATTTTTACTTTAAACAGAAAAATATTTTCCTTTACTTGTTTTCCTTCTTTCCAACAAAACCAGGAAATTGTTCTCCCCAATGCAAACATACTCTTTTCCTTCTTTCAAACAAACCAGGAAATTGTTCTCCCCAATACAAGCATACTCTAATAATCATCAAGTAGATAAAAATAGAATACTTATTTATACAAAAAAAACATCATCGTCGACTAATCACGGGACCAGATGACTAACAATTAAGATCGATTTCACACAAACACAGCAGAAAAGAGAAAATCAAAATTGTGTTACCTTCCTAGATATTTGATTTCCCATTTGCACCCATTTATTCTTTGCAGCCTGAGAACACCCTATTTTGAAGACTGCAGGATCTAGCAGTTTCTGCGTCAACAAATCCAACAGCCAAAAATCAAATAAAAAACTGAAAAATTGAAAAGAAAAATTAAGAGCAATCAATTATAAAAACCTGCAACTCTTCTTTCGAAATGCTACCCTCCTCTGGTACAGCCAAGAAGAGTTGAACTTCAGGTGATCCTTTTTCAGCATATTTTCTACCCTCTTCAGTGAGCACCAATGTTTCTCTCTTAATATCCTACAAACATCATCAAACGCCCAATTAATCAAATAATCCATCAGCTATATAACAGTCATAACCACACTGGTCATCTTTATTATTGACAAATCCAAAACCACACTAATTTTCACCTTATCTAGTCTACAATTACTGCATAAATATTAAAAAAAATTAAAATTCAAAACCCTAGAAAACCCTAAATTTTGGAACCTGGGCCTCAATGTAGCGGAAACCGTGGAGGCTTTTGATGACATTAACAACGTCGTTGTGATCGAGTCCATTATCAGTAGCGAACTGGCCAGAATCGGAGATTTCTTCGTGATTCTCTAAGTAACCTAAAACCGCTTCCTCTGCCATAATGGCGATTTCCTTCTATTTTTGTGTTGAGTTGCGGTGCTTTTGGAGGGGCTTGGAATTTTATTTTATTTTGTTTCAACCTTTAGCCACCAAGACACCACTCCGCTTCATTTTTCTCCGCTGGAGGAAGGAAAGGATAGAGCTGCTAGGGTATAGAGAGTGGGCTTTGTAAGTATATTTGTCTTGGGCCTTCGTGCTGGATTTTTTCAGAGGCTCGCTGATTGGTGTTTTCTCCTCCTTTCTCATTGTTTTAATTATTTATTTATCACAAAAATAGAAAGGGATATATTTATTTAGACCTGCTTGTTTATTTTTGCAGTAACTTTTATATTCATTTAAAACTAAAAAATAATATCGTTTAGTTAGTGACACGACTAAAAGATTGATATCTTCTCCTAAGTGTAGGAGTGTTGAAGTAATAAATAACCCGGCAAGACCGGAGTCGAACCACAGGGAGGTTAATTGTACAAATTATAAATAACAATAATATTATACCATACATTATGGGCTATGAAAGTGCCAAGCATTTGTTGTACCAAGTGTTATACAACATAAATCAAGATTAGTCATTTAACAAGCAAAGTATTAAAGAGTGAACAAGATAGCAAATATAAAACATGTTAGTATCAAACATTAAAGTCCATATTAAGTTTACATTATACTTATTCTTACACCATTAGTGTAACCTTTTCACCTTGACATAATTAACTTAGCTAGACATAATGAAAGAAAGCAAAATAGATAAACAAAATAAGAACATAAAAGTTAACTAAGTAAAGGAAAGGAAATGAAAGGCATAAACTTAATATTAATGAAAACAAAGCATAAAAAATACAAAGAGAGAAAGGAAGAGCATGATCTTGATCTGAACACCAAGATGCCTAAATGCATGGCAAATGCCTCCTTTTATAGGCCAAAATTGGGAACTATTGATTTGATGACTAATTGATAAGTGGGTGACCAACTTTTGACTTGGTGACAATCCTTATCTTCTCTTGTCTGCCCAAAACGTCATTGATAACGTCAAAATTGGAGCCAGTTGTAAACATGAAAGTTGTAGGCAATTGTCTCAGCTTTCTTGTGTAAAAATTTCAGCTCATTTGGACTTCTAGAACTCCAGATATGGCCAAAATACCGAATAGTGCTCGGGCTGGAAGACAGATTCGGGCTTCTTTGTTGTTGCTACAATTTGGACTTGATAATGGCCTTTTTAGATCTTGGGCTCCATATGAAAGTTGTAGGCCTATGTCTTACCTTTCTATCCATATAAATTGGACCTAAATCTGAGATCTGTAGCTCCAGATATGACCCAATTACCGAACAGTGTTCCGGTTTGGATTGCACCGACATCTCTTTTCTAAGTTTGGCCATCTCTTTATCCTTGCAATTTAAGTTCTTCAAGTCATCAATCAATCCTTTCATTTATGTGATAGGCCTGCATTAAAAATAGACATTTACCACAATTTATAGGTATCTTATATTATTAGATACATTCTTATAAAACATATTTTAGTTAAGGAGTTATTGATACTTCAAGTGCAAAATGATGATATAAAACCATGATAAAAATGCACTTTTAAGTATTAATTAATTAGCAGGTCAATCATACTTTTTAATTTATGAGCCCATAATTTTTGTGTTCCAACCATAAGTTTAGCTTGAGTTTTCTATTATTCAAAATAGTCCTTTCATTACTTCACTTGTCTCCCCTCTTATCTATCTTTCCAATCCAAATTCTTATCCTAAACTTAATACTATACACCAGACTTGCCTTTAGCTTTTAGTTTTCTCGGGTTTTCACGCTTCTTTGTAACCCAAAAATTGTTGATAACACGTTGTAATTGATGCCATCTTCGAGGTATTTGTTTTTGAAGAGGATATTTCAAAAACTTCATGTAATTAAAATTTCCAATATCATCCAACATCATTGCTTTCTTCTTTCTTTTTTTTTTTAAAAAAAAATTATACATTTTTTTTTGTTTCAAGAACCGTAGATCTAACATCTTTTATTCATGGAAAGCATAAAAAAATCTCGATTCTTATTGTTTCGGTATATCTTAGACTACATGACTAATGATCTTTTTAATTTTTTTTTCTTTATATATTTTGAAGTTTAGCTGAAAATCGTAAAAAATTGAAGATATATTCATGTTTATATTCTAACAGCGTGGTCACTATATGCCTATATTTACATTTTTTTTCATATTATAAACTAACATTTTGGGTTATTATGCATGCATAAGCATTTTAATTTCAGTAATAACATAATTATTTATTTCACCTCATGGCCAAAAACAATTGGAATATCATTTAGAATAAGGTTATTTATCCATGTTTTTTAAACTGTGCATATTACTAATATTTAATGCTTTTATGTCAAAATGAGATGCATTGCAAAACTCTATGAGTCTATTTATGTGTTAAGTGATATGATTTTTCTTATTTGTTCTTGTCTATATGGAAAATCTTGCAATCTCTAGTAATTTTCGTTTCACATATGATTTATTAAATATATAAACTATTTAAGTTTAAACATATGGATTGGTCATAAATATTACTTTTGGTTTCACATGAATTGCCATTTGCAGTGGCACTGAAATCTATTTTCTTGACCATTATATACCACTATTTATGTTAGGAAGGGAACTATGTACAATCAGTTTCCAAATTAAATTTAGCAAATTGGGCCTACATCCAAATAGACTTCGTAAAAACTATTTCTGAACCTAAAGGATTTCTTATAGCTTATTTGTGACACTAATGTTGCAGAGTTCTTTTGCTTTTAGTACTATGGTTTGTGTGTGGGTGTGTTGGTTTATGTGGGATAACTTTAACATCCCAATGAAGTATTGGACTGAATTTTTTTCTTTAATATTTGGTTTTCTTCTTCTATAACTCTCATTTCTAAACTTGCACAGGTTTTTTTTTCTTATTTTGTTATCTTCTTTTAATAACTTTATTTATCATAATGGTCTTGTGTTTATACTTGTCTTTTGTAAATATCAGCAACATTGCATTATAACTCGTCTTGAACAACCATATTATCTAGGTTATATACCAATAGAAGCTTAATACATTATGATTAGTCATTCATTGATAATGTGCTTTTGTAACATACTTGATCTTGACTCTTTTTTCTTTTAATTGTTGTTTTCAGAAACTTAGTTCAATCTATGTGTGAATTTTCACCTGCTTTGAGCGCTATAAAAACAATTTATTTGGTATTAATGTTAAATATATAACATCAATTGCAGCTTGTCAAATAGCCATTATGAATTATTGCTTCTAAAAACCAAGATTGATGTTGCATTCACACAAATTGATGTGTTGTCATCACTTTTTGTTATATTGCATCTAGAAATTAACTTATTAATTGCATGTTAGAAAAAACATTTTAACTAAGAACATGAAAGATTCTCAATCACAAGATAAGGCATGATGGACTAAAGAGATGTTGCATATATTTTATGACATTTATATCAAAGCAATTGAGAAAAGGGATACGATTGAACACACATTTTGATAGAGTTGGATGAAAATATGTTATCAATTACTTTAAAGAATATATCAACCATGTATTAACAAAAGCACAATTAAAGAATAAGTGGGACAAAATAAAAAAAGATTGAAGAATATGAAGGAAGTTAATTTTCAAAACAGGAGTTGGTTGGAGTCTTAAACTTGGCATAATTTCGACCATTAATGAGTGGTGAAAATCTAAAATCAAGGTTCGTTTTTTGTTTGAGCATATGTATAATTACTAGAAACTTTTATTGTTTATTCTTACAATTGTTATGATTCAATAATATCTTTATTTTTCCTTATTGTAGGAAATACAAAGAGCTTAAAAGTTTAGGCATTTTAGTATTAAGCCCGGTATTGTATTGTAAATATAATATTATATTTACAAACATTGTGGCTACCAGTTAATATACTTGGGCTCCATCATAAGGTTTGAATTCTGGTGATGATAGTGTAGGTGATGGGATAAGTAATGCTACTAATGAAAATTTAAATATAAAGGAAGGTAGTGATGATTTAAAAGAGGATACTTTATCAAATTTTGCAGAGGATGTCAATAATTTGATTGTAGGTGTTAACTTTACCAATTGTAATAGTAATTATAGTAATAGTGGAAAGAGAAAAGGGCCTCAACAATATACAAACAAGAATGTTAAAAAAAGAGAGAGAAAGGTTAAAGAATGAGAGCATAAATTTTTTAGTGTTTAGATTAATTGGTTGATGGTTTCTCTACTATGAGTGAATGCATATCTAATGTTTAGGATTGAAAAAGAAAGAAAAAAATATGTGGCATAAATGAGATCATGAAAGAGTTTCACTCCATCGAGGAAGTGATTTTCGAGAGTGAGCTTTATTGTTTTGGTACTGATTTTTTCATGGTTAGAAGTAGAAAGGAAATGCACGCAACAATTAGAGAAAGGAAAAAAAAATCAATGACTGAAATTAATGTTCAAGAGAAGATCAAACCTTAAACTATAATGTAAAGGTCAATATGATTAATCTATTTTAAATCTAATTTGCTTATTAGGTAATGTTTTAATAATTATCTCTAAAAAATTGATATTAAAAATGATTCATGTGTTTTTAGGTATTCTTTGATTTTTATATTTCAAGTTTAATGTTGTTGGATAGGTTATTACAATTTCATTTTGTAACATACAATGATTTGGTCATTTATATGTTAAATGCTTCATGAACATAATATTAATGTCATAATTATTAGATTAATGTAAGGGTCGAATGATTAGTACTTAAAAATGCATTTTTATTAAGGTTTTATATCATCATTTTGCATTTGAAGTATCAATAACTCCTTAATTAGAACATGTTTGATAATAACCAGTCTGATAATATAAGATACTTTTAATTTATAGTAAATGTTCATTTTAAATGCAGGCATTATTACAATTCAAAGGATTGATTGTTGTGATTAACTATTAGAAGTGAAAGGGCAAAGAAAAGATTAAGTTTGGAAAGGAGATACTGATTCAATTCAAATTCGAACACTGTTAAGTTATTATATCATATCTAGACCTATAGATCTTGGATTTCAGATTGATTTATATGGATGAAAAGATAAGAAATAGGCCTACAACTTTCATGGTATGGAAACATCTAAATTT